GAGGGGCGGGATCACGCGTGCAGTGGCAGGAAGGGCACTTCTCTGCTTGCCCCTGGAGTTCCCAGACCATCCTCTAGAGCTGGCTTAATTCCTTCTGGTCATTCTGTGTATTCCTGGCCAAAAACAGGCCAAAGGTCCTGTGAAAGGACCTGGCAGCCTGGAGAACCTTGTCCTGACGCCTACAGGTTTTTGGGTCCCCCCCTCCATGGTGTGCCAGCCACATCTGCCCCTCCTGGGATGCTGTGTCCAGATGTTGGGAGCTGAGCTGGCAGGGGGAGTTCAGAGCAGTCCAGGGGCTGTTATCAGACCCTTGTACCTCACTGAGCCTCGTTTACTCTTTCTAGCTGTCTGATGCCCTCCTGGAGAAAGAAGTGATAAATTATGATGACATTGAAGCTTTGATTGGGCCTCCACCCTATGGGCCAAAGAAAATGATAGCTCCTCAGAGCTGGCTGCAAGCAGAGAGGGACAAGCAAGACTCAAGAGATGAAGAAATGCCCCAGCAGCCACCAAACCACGAGGAGGAGGAAGAACCACGGCTGAGACCAGTATGAAGCTCACTCCTGGCATGGACCAGGAGAGCTCTAGAGGCTTCTTTTGGACACAGACCTTTGCCTGGGAATCTGCTGCTGGTGCCCAGAACTGAAGGGATGGCTGTGTTGGCCCTTCTAACCAGCTTTTCCCTGTGGGAAGGAGAAACTCCTTAGGATTCTGAAATGATTCTCAGCAGGGCCAGTAGTGATGAGGAGCTGGGTAAGTCTGATCTGCTGAAAGATTTCTTGTGCACCAGTGCAGTGTACCTGTTCTTGAGGGTGTGGAGCCCTGGTGGGGTGGGGTGTGACACACGGGAGGGCCGGGCTGTCCCTGGCAGCCTGGGGAGACCCCGTGAGGCTCCTGCTGTGGCTCTGGTGTGACTCTGCTGTAACCTTCGGTCATCTGAAAACAGACCTTCCCTGGAATAAACTGCTCCTCCTGTGCTGTGGTTGTCCCGTGTGTCAAGAGGGGGGTTGTGGGGCGGGGCGGGGGCAGATCCAGCCCTGGCAGCGCCCGCCGGGCCCC